ACATGGGCAGTAATGTTTCATTTGAAAATTTGTGGAGGAGAAAGTAATCTGATCTAAACTGCAAGTATTTTTTTATTTTTCCAGTCTATGGCTGTTAGGTGTCTTTTTTCCCCCTTTATTGACTCCATATATTCTTTGGTCAGAACATAAAATTCTTTGGTCGGTATTCATGTCTTGGGCAAAATTTCATAGAACCTATTTATAGGTGCTGTAGAGCTTTGTCTGTTGTGAGGGATGCATATCTTATAATTCGTCCAGCTGTAAAGGCTGGACCTGAGTTCTCCTGGTGTGAACAAAGCTATTTAATTTTCAGGCTGCTTTTTCCTGAGCAAGCTTGTCTGGCTAATACAACCCTCTGGCATAAGTTTCAGAAAACAGTACAATATACATGAATACTCTGCCCTGAAACAGAATTGAAAGCCACTGTAAATAATGAATATTTCTGGCATACCAAAAGGATGAAAGCGTTATATTTTCAAAAGCCCAAACTCTATTTATCCTGTGGATTCAGGTTAGCTTGTGATGTGTATACACCTTATTTAGGTAAGCACAGTTGTTGCACATACCCAGAGTTTAACTAGCTGTACCACATTAGTCTTGTACACATATGATGAATTAGTAATTCCTTCATAATGGAGCATATGATGAAAGCTGCTTTAGAATCTCAGTTCTTTTAAAGCCTAAAAGAGCAAACCTTTGGAAGCAGATAAAAGGCATAGTGAATGGGAGGTGCCTCTGGAGATAAAGACAGGGGCTATCTTTTTTCAACATGATGCAACAATGTATTGAATTTCAAAATACCACATAAAGTTGCATGCTTTGCTGCTGATGGAGAGTGGTTTGCAGATGCAAACAGGTAAGGAAAATGAATTGTATGATATCCAGATTAATCACAAAACCTCGGGGCTTAAACTTCTGTGGATTGTTTTCTTATGTCCTGACCTCCTCAGAACAACATACTATAAATACTTTGTGTTATTTAGTTGAATTATTAGTTAATTAGCACTACTATTTCTTCATTCTAAAAGGAAGGCAGGCAGGTTTTATTTTCAGCATGTTTGAGATGGGTATTTGCTATGTCTAGCTATACATATCAGACACTATTATGCATAATTTCTTTATCTAGTAACATGTTAATTAACACTAAGACATAAACTAGCAACAGTTAATAACTTCCCAATCAGTAGATCACTTAAAGACTGAATATTGTAGGATTTCAGATGCATATACTAGGATCATTCTGTTGGATTTTTTAACCCCAGGAAGTACCCTTAGTCATTGACAACTGTGTCAGAGTATAAGGCAGTATTTTAGTCAGCAAATTAATTGAAGGAGAAGTCTGCAATCATAGTTTTCATAGCTGTCGTGCTCTAATTTAATAACATGTTTATGTTACTATACAAACTGATTATTGTTCCTACCAGTAGTGTAACATTTATCATGGTTTAGTTGGAGTTGCAGTGGGAGTGTACATTTTACTTATCAGTCGGAACATTTTAATAAATAATTAGTTTTCAGTCTTGTTAAGAGAAGAATAATCACATATTCAAATAAATGAATGTGTAATTCTTGTTGCCATTTATCATTTCAAATGTACATGTTAGTTAGTTGTGCCTGGAATCTCTCACTGCACATTGCTAAAAATGCAAGGGCATCAGTCTTCCTTTTGTGTTTATGCAGAATATAATTTTAAGTGTTAAAATGACTCCCATATTCTACCTACAAAATACCATAATAAAACCCGCTGCATTACTGATCTTCTGTTGGAAGGGACCTACAGCAATCATCTAGCCCAGCTGCCTGACCACCTCAGGGCTGACCAAAAGTTAATGCATGTTATTAAGGGCATTGTCCAAATGTCCCTTGACACTGACAGGTTTGGGTCACCGACCACCTCTCTAGGAAGCCTGTTCCAAAGTTTGACTACCGTCTCAGTAAAGAAATGCTTCCTAATGTCCAGTCTAAACCCCCCTGGTGCAGCTTTGAACCATTCCCATGCATCATGTCACTTGATACCTGGAGAAGAGCTCAGCACCTCTCTTTCCACTTCCCCTTCTCAAGCAGCTGTAGGGAGCAGTAAGGTTGCCCCTCAGCCTTGTTTTCTCCAAACTGGACAAGCACAAAGTCCTCAGCCATTCTTCTCAGGACATGCCTTCCAGCCCTTTCACCAGCTTTCTTGCCCTCCCCTGGACACATTCAGGGACCTTCACATCACTCTTAAATTGTGGGACCCAGAACTGCACACAGTATTCCAGATGAGGCTACACTAAACGCTGAATACAGTGGGAAAATCACCTCTGCTGACCAGTTGGCCATGCTGTGTTTGATGCAGTTTGTCCTCTTGGCTGCCTGAGCACTTTACTGACTAGTACAGATCCTGCTGTTGACCAGTGCCCCTAGATCCCTTTCTGCAAGGCTCCTCTCCAGCAACTCCTCTCCCAATGTAGACCTGTGCCAGAGAAATGGCATTTCTCTGTCCCAGCTGCAGAATCTGGCATTTGTTCTTGTTAAATTTGATGGCACTAATGATTGTCCAATGCTCCAAGTCTATTCAGATCCCCCTGCAAGGTCTCTTGTCCCTCAAATGTCAATAGCACCTCCCAGTTCAGCAGACTTGCTCATAGTGCATTCAAATCCTGCATCCAGATCGTCAATTAAAATATTGAATAGAACTGACCCTCGAATTGCGCCTTGAAGATCACCAATAGAGGAAAACAAGCAGTAGCCAGAAATTTTCAGAAAGGGCAAGATGAATAATTCAGTGCCTAGAAAATCTGTCCTCCAATCAGACATACTTTATGCTCAGAAATAGTTAAAAGTGATTTATATAGCCTACATAAGAAGGTTTCTGTCATTAGAGGTATGTATCTGTCAAATTAAGCAGGAAGTTCATTTTATCAAAATTTAGATTAAAACCAACAAAATAATTAGTAGTAAGAAAAATCTCTCCTGAAGCATACATGGTAGAGTATGATGAAGACTCATTCTAAATATAGATCACATACTTTAGTGAGCTTGATGAAGTAATTAGCATGTTTTAGTAGTGACTTAACTGCTTGGCTGATGCTATGCAGTAAAAGTGAACACAGATTTATTGTGTTCAGTGGTCATACTAGTGAAATCTAAAAGAAACTCCACCAACAAAAATTGCCTGGATAACAGAAAAAGGAAGTTTGTTTATTTTTATTCTCACTGTGCAGCACCAAAACACCTTGGATCAATATGGAAGCAAGGAATGAGTGTCACCTGTAATACCACTTTTCTTTTTAAGAGCAATTACTACTACTTTTTAACAGTTTGATTCTCTGAACAGACAAGGCCACAAGTTACAACAAAATGAGAGTAGTGCAGTAGGTGGTATGTGCAGTAGGAGGTGTAACTTCAGTGCAGTGGACTAAGCACTGTGGAACAAGTAATCCAAGATTCAGAATTAGGATTTAAATGTGTTTACAGTCTTCATTGTTTGATCACAGCATTATGTTAAGAAGGAAAATTCTATGGCTGTGGTTGTAAGTTGACCTTACAAGTTTTGAGCTTGTAGTTTTTATCATGTGGCATGCTCTTAAAATTTGATCTTTCTTGTGTGATTGCCTACTTCGATCTCATAGTATTTTCCACCAAAGCAAGAGAAAATCAGAATATTAAAAAAAAAAATCAAATCATTATTACCAGGTAGGAGTATCTTTTCTTACATACCAATTTTGTATTTTTAATAATGTGCTTTTTAAAAAAAGGCTTTTGTAGCTAATAATGAACAGTTGTAAGACAGAAACAAGAAGTGGTTCCTCACAGTTATTGCAACAAAATGATTGTCAGTTGCCCTGTAAAAAAGGGAGAAGCTAATTGTATATGTACAGTAAATTCAAATACCAACTGTAGTGTTTTTCAGTTTCTGCTATACAGAGAGTAAATTCAGCCAATGTTGATAAATTATGACACTAATATTACGGTGTGATATTTGAAGTAGGATAGGAAGGGCTTATTAAAGAAAGGTCTGCACAGAGAATGATAAATGGTTTTAAAAGTGTAAGTGGTGGTTTCCATTGCTTTCATTTTGGCCATTTAATGTAGCTAATTAATTGCATGCCTTTTTTTACTGCACATCCTGTTGTCTCTGTCATTTTCATTGTTGTTTTTGCTCTTCTAGCTGCCCAGTTAAATTATGCTTAGGTTCTAATTTTTTTTCTTTAATGCTGTCATTATCAAACTAATCAAAATATCTGCTGATATTAAAGAAGAAAAAAAGGGGAATGGATGTGATAGTATTCATGTATTTGCGTTTGAAGAAATACTACTTTGTATTTTAGTAGTGCTGTGTTCGCTTTTCATATTAAAAGGCAAATCTGAACAAATCTGCTTGTCCAAAGGCTGGATCCTGCAGTCTGTGTAACTCCTGACTTTCCATTTATTTTGACAGCTGGGGATGTTCAGAGGGTGCTGGCAGCAGTAAGGGTGGTGTCTTGTCCCAGTGAAGTTAATGGTGGAAAAACTATTATATTAATTGGATTTGTGTTTTGATTCTCTGATTCCAAAGAGCTGAAGTTTTGCTTCTAATTCAGTTCTTATTGCAAGCTGTGAATGTCTCTTCCTAGCATAGTTGAAGGGAAAACATAAGGAGGTCTTTCCTAAAATTCTGTTTAGGGATTTATTTCTTTTTTTTTATTTGATTAATGATATTTTTGTTCAATCAGGGTTGTTTTTGTTTCAGTGCAGCTCACCAGTAAATCTAGTCATTTAATTTCCTGAGCAGGCTGAAAGGTAAAATGGACTTTGATGCTGTGATCCTGCAGTATATATGCAAGCAAAATGCCTTTCCAGCTTCATTGGGCAGGTTTGTGTTCACTGGGACTCTGGAATGAGGCTTTTTGGTAGAACATATGCCCTAGCTAGGCATAAAGCAGGCATTTCTATTGATCTGTAAGCAATCTGTCAAAACTTCTCTGATCAGGCTTTTTTACTATCTCGTCTTGAGTCCTTTTTTTAATGACATCTATTATCAGATTGAAATGGCGATTGAGACACTGCAAAAGTCTGATGGTCTGTCCACTCACAGAAGCTCTCTTCTCAACAGCCATGTAAGTTGTCTCTTCTTCACATACACTCTCTCTTGCTTGTTCTGCATGCTTAGCCTGCCTCTAAATGTTTGTTTTATTTTATTACTATTTTTTGTTCTTAATCTTCTCATCTTAGTTGCTTGTAATCTTCTACTACATCTCCCATGGCTTTATTTTGTCAGATGAAATGTCTTTATGGTATATTGCATAGTGTTACCTGTTTCCCATGCTCTACACCTATGTTAAGACAAGTTAATCCATTCGACTGTTTTGCAGATTATAGTGTAAATGTCAAAATAAAGTTCAAATAATTCTAAATTAGATGGCTTTTGACATTTTAAATAAAGTTATCTACAAATCAAAGACTCTGTATCCTATATTAATTTTAGAGCATGTGAAGAGGAAGAGAAGAAACAGACAGCATGCCTAAATAATATCTTTATTTTTAGGTGTTTCTTTGTTTATTCTGAATAGACAGTTTATTATGAAATTACTTACTTAAGAGTCCTAAAGTTCCTTATGATGACCTGGAAAAAAAATCAAAAACATTATCTTAATTTGAAGTACAGAAAAAATGTATTATCCAGCTGCCTTTTGCTTTGTTCTTACTCCCAAATCTTACAGTGAAGAACTGTCGATACACAAAGCTAAAATATATTTGGGTAAAAACATGATCTCCAAATATAATGATAAATCCATTATATGTAACTTTAAAATCACTGAAAAGGCCAAAAATTAATTTTTAATACATTATGTAAATAATAGCATTGATTTGTAAGTTGCTAGTCTTTCTTGATTTTTTTTTTCCCTGTTAGTATTTGTGGGTTTATATTTTGTATTTTCCCATGTTGATTAGTTTGTATTCATCTTACCTTTTTTTCCTTCTCAGCTTTACTAATTATATAAATTCAAATTCCTGTATAGTTTTACAGAAGAAATTTAAATTTGGTTTGTGGTCTTAATGTAAGAATGTGGTCATAAATGCTGTACCTCAGAAATCAAAATAAAAATAGATGTTTTGGGTTTTGGATTTTTTTCTGTATGGGTCTAGTTATGTCAAAGTTTTGTTTTGTGGAAATTTTAAGCAAACTTACCTTTTTTTCTTCAGAAAAAACGCCAAAAGTTAAGAAAGAAAATCAAATTACAGAAAGTGGTACAAAATGTAACACAGAAAGTCTTTTAGATTCCACCTTGGATGTTTACAAAATACTTGCTCTGGAGACAGTATCAAAATTATTATTAAAATAATAATAGATAATATAAAAGTTTTTTTTTTAAAAGGTCCATAACATTTTATGGCAAAGTGTCAGAAATTTATGTTAAGACTTGAAACACTTGAACTGTTTATGTTTATCCTAAATGAAGTCTGGAATCTTGGTACAAAAACCAAGAAGAATTATAAGGTAAGCTGCTGTGCTCCAGTAAATTATGTTCCATTCATTCCTGGTGCTATGTGTTGCTCACAATGTGTTTCTAATAATGAGATTCACATTCAGTTGTGAAATTTTACATGATATTTCTTTCTTGACAGTGAAGTCTTTTTCAAATTTATTCTGATAGTGTTATATCTTTGACTCTGTGGGGAAAAAAAACCCAGAAGTCCCTGTACATATTCTTGTGTTAATCAGTCTTTCCTAGCCTTGGTCATTTTGGAAGAAGTTAGCAATCTAGATCAAACTTAGTGGATATTTTGCCTATTTTTAAAGCAATGTTTACTGTCTTTAAACTTGAGTAAGGGCAGTATGGAGGAAGGCTTTGTCCCTTGAAGCTCTTCTACTGGTTTGGTTAGGCATTTATAAATAATTTATACATAATTGGGTTTAATAGGCTTGAAAATAGAATTTAAGTTTTGGGGTTTTTTTAAATACTGGCTTTGGAACTGGGATTTTCACCCTATGATATCTCTATGAGATTGTCTGGGATTTTTTTTTTTTTCCTAATTCATGTGAGTTCATTTTAAGGAGTTTGTTCTTTCTCCTATGTTTTCTTTTCTTTTCTGATTTATTTCTGCATGAATCTGACTTAATTAAGTACTTGATTAATTAATTGCTAGTTGACTATTTTATAAGCACTGCTGCTTAATTGGAGTCACAGTCAGTGTAACAGGTCTGACTGTAAATATTTCATACCTTTACTTATCTTACCCATACAATATGGACACTATTAGGAATTAAAAAAGCCAGGATTCAAACATGAACAGCTCAGTTTTAGAATTATAGTTCATCTGGTAGAATGAGGCAAAAATTCTCATATTGCCCTTTTGGTTTTTGTTTGTTTTGTTTGTGATTTTTTTGGTGTTGAATAATGGAAGTTATGGTTGAAATAACATCTGTTATAAATTCATGTCATTATTGAAGTGCACATAAAGTGATTCATAATAGGTTAGAAGCCATTTGGTGGAAAATATCTTTAATGCTACATACAGAACTTAATTGGAAAATAATCTTTTGTTTGTCAGTCTTTCTGGATTGACAGAGTTGTCCCTTTAGGGAAGGCAGTAATACTTCACATTCTGTATCTGTTCTGATTAAATTACAGATTTAAAAATATATGACATGTTATATAAATGTATATAATATAAATATAGATATAATAGACTTCAAATAAAGATAAAGTGGAATAGTTGAAAGATATAATTACCTTTGTTTCAAAGACCAGACGGGCTTATTGCAGGTCATTAGTGAAGTAAGTTTAATACATTCAGATAAAAGTTAATGTTTATGATGATTATTTTTCTTCAGTGTTATTATAAAATGGCAGATGCTCAATTTCGAAGCACTTGTGAATGCTGAGACTTAAAAAAATAATGATATGATAACTGATATAGAGATGATTAGGTGTACTTTTAAATTCTGTCTATTTAAAATGCAAAATTACCAGCAAACTGAGCTAAGAATTTTTTTGTCTTGGAAGCATTTATATCTTACTTATACGTCTTCTAGAGCTTGCTTTTAAGAAACTTGGAAAAGTTATGGGCATGTTTTCAATAAAAAGTAAATATGGAAATGGTGTTTGAATGTTCTAGAATGAATTTTATAGTATTTTTTTTGCATTTGTATCAGTGACTTTCTCACTGAGACTAAAACATAGCTGTGAGTTCAATGTATTTGTTATCATCTGTACTTCAGTACAAAACAGTTTTCTGATAAAGATCAGGACTGAAACATTTCATGGCTATTGCACACTAAAATATTCATGTTCTTTGCATGGTAAGTTACACTAAACATTGATAGAATAGAATTTATGCACTGCTCTAAAATAAAATAATACTGCAAAGGAATAAATAACACATAGAACATATATATTTTTTATTGTCACTTAAGAATTTGTGTTATGGTAATACTAGTTACTGCTTTGGTGGACTAAATTGAAAATTATGGCAAATATGTATGAATATCTAGCTCATCAGAGTAAAAGTTCGTAGCACGTCTTGGAGACAAAATGTCCTCAGTGTCATTTCCACTGGATAATCAAATTAAATCCTGAGTTTTATTAAGATCTGTGATGCTAGCAAGCTTGAATATTCACACTCTGTTATTTTGGTATAAATACTTAGGAAAACAGTGAAAAAAAATCAAACAGAAAATAAAATTTGTATGTCATTCAAGCTATTTCTAAAGGAAAATTTCAGGGAACTGAAAGCATGGCAAGTTCTGGGGGAAGATAAGAGAAATATTAGCATATCAAAACCATAAAACAATGGAATTTTAATGCATCCTCAACCTATATTATTTTTTACCTATTTTTACATTCTCCTATAATGTTAAATCTAGAAATTTTAAATTGTCCTTTTTACTTTTTTGTAAATTAGTGACAACTCAAGGTGTTACATGAGTGTGTACTACTTTCCTTGCGTGTATTTAAAAACACCTACCACAATTACATGAAAAGATTAATGTTTTTCCAAGAATATAATTCTTTTTCTCCTGGAAGTCAAACGCAAACAGGCTACAACTAAAAGGGATTGTACCCCTAATGCTTTACAGATGTACCAGTTACTTTCCATGTTATTTTGGTTGCTCTTTCATGTATATGCAATAACTTTTATATGTACCTGAGAATAGATCCTATTCGCTTAAGTGCTGTAATGCATTTTAGCATCAGGTAAAGAAAAACAGTATGATATTCCAGGTTTATAAAAACACTATTTATAAAAACACTCACTATTTTTAGTCCAAGGAGTTTGTTTTCTGTAATTTTTGTGAATTACGTACAAGATTAGTTTATTTCTTTGCCGTACCAACGGTTTGTTTCCAAAGCGTAGATACCTTTATCAAGTATTGGTGTATGGTACTGAATCAAAAATATTTTAAGAAGTGGACGCTTATCTGAGGTCAGAATGCAACGAATTCTGCTATTTCCTGATAATTCTGAAAAAATTCTAAAGCAATATGATAGAGCTAGCATTTAAGGAATATCTGAAGGAGGAAGTAGTTGTTTAATAGACCTGAAGAGTGGTTTCAGAACTTTCATAAATTAATGTTGTGTGGCTAAGATATTTTTAGTAAAGTAAGAATGGGATTTTTTTTCTCTGTTTTGTATGTGATATAGCTTCAGTGGCTTTTAGACAACTATGAAACTGCAGAAGGAGTGAGCCTTCCAAGAAGTACACTTTACAACCATTACTTACGACATTGTCAGGAACACAAATTGGATCCAGTAAATGCTGCCTCCTTTGGAAAACTCATACGGTCAATCTTCATGGGATTACGTACCAGAAGACTTGGAACTAGGTTTGTGTTAATCAAATGAAAATAATGAAAGTAATAGACAATACAGGTAATAATTATGAGTATAGAAATCTGTCTGCTAGTGAAAAAATAATAAAATATTACAGTGGTTTTCACTTAGTTCTGTCTCTTAATGTTAGACAGTGTTATGCTTTTCCAGATGTTATTGTACTTCTGCATACTCTGGTTTTGACTGTTTATGTGTTGACATACTGATAAATGCACTGCAGTTTTTTATCAGTACAAATAAATCGTAGTTTTTTGTTTGGAAATCACTAAGAATTGTGTTTCTTCGTAACTATGTATGTAAGTTGTATTTGCATTTTATTTTTCTTACTGAAGTGGATTACAAGTTATAATGCTAGAAAATACATATTTAAGAGAGCGAATTAATTTCCCAAAGGTGGTAAAATGACACCCATGTAAAACAGATATGACAAGAGGGTCAGGCCTGATTTGTGGGTAATGTTTCCCAGTCAGTGTAAACTGTAAATTAAATGTAATGTAGATGCGTAAAACTAGTGTTGCTGTTTGTTTAATTCTTGTTCTTTCATAAAGGGGGAACTCCAAATATCATTATTATGGGATTCGCGTCAAGCCAGACTCTCCTCTTAATCGACTACAAGAGGACATGCAATATATGGCTATGAGACAACAGCCCATGCAGCAGAAACAGAGGTAAAGTGTGAAATGGACATGAGTACTTATTAATATTTCTAGTTCATAATGCCTTACTTTTCCTCACATGAAAAGTTGAAATTCTAGTGCAACTTTTGTTCAACTTCTCTACTGTAAAAAATAGAAATTTGCTAGACAGCCAGATGATGTCACTGAAGTTATGTATCAGTCAACAAGAAAGATTGTGTACCTAGAAATAGTCATAAATTTGCAAAGAGTAATAATAATAAAATGAGATGTATGAACAGACTCAACTATCTTGAGTTTTTATCCCATGAGACGAAGAAAAGCAGTGAGAGCTTAAATTTCAACTTTTGCTGGTTTTTCTCATTGCTATATAAATTTATTTATAAACTGCTTATAAGAGAGCCTATTATTAATTTCAGTTCAGTGTTTATCCCCTCTCCCTGCAAACAATTAATGTGACCATAATGGTTTTCCTCTAAGTTGATTTTAAGTATTTTCCTTCAGCATCTTGTTCCTGGGGATCTAGTGAAAGCTCAGAAGTATTCAAAAGTAGTGGCACAGAAGAGCTATTCTGGTGGTGAAATAATGCATGAATATGCATATGAAAAACTATCCTGAACAGAAATTCTAGGAAAGAAGTGGAAATGAGTACATTTCTTTGAAATTTATTTTAATTTAGCTGATGTCACTAGCCTCCCATATTACCCTAAAGTGAAGTATCTTAAGATGTGTCATTTCATGAAACTTACATGTAGAACAGTAGTGTATCAACCAAGACATCTTTAGAGCTTTTACCCCCCTGAAAAAGATCCAGTTAGTGTACTAGGCATAATTTGTGGCCTTGGACACAACTGGGACATGGAAAACACAGTTTCAGACTTTAACTTAAAACACAGATACCACTTTAATCTGAAATGATTTTGCTATCATTTCCAGAGGTAGTTACAGCACTAACTACGTATTTATAGCAAAATATATGGTCTTTACTATCTTGTGTGGAAGCATGAGATGTGTCCCAGTATGATCATGTGGGAAATTCTTGCTACAAAAAGCATCACAGGATTATATGGTAGGAAAAGATGATAGATACTTAAAAAATGTCCAAGCAAGCTTATTTTACCCACTGAAGCTCATTCACTTAGAGATTTCATTCACTCATGTTCAGAATCACATATATGCACCAAGTGGTACCCACAGTGGTCTTAACTACAATATTTTCTATGAACTTTTTTCTGGAGAAATTTTGGCAGTTATGTAATCATCGTCACCTCTTTTGTCATCTTCTTGATTCACAATGACAAAATTATTTTAGAATTCTTAGAAGTGAGTACTACTTTTCTTTATTATTTGCTTTATTATTTTCTTTAACACTGCCAGATGTCCTACATAGTTCCCTTGTTTTCCTTACCTAGGTGTGTTTGGTGATATTTTCTTAATATTATCTTTATGTAGTATGTTCCCGGATTATATTTGAATGAAATCACACATGCAGGATTTTGTAGCAGTTAGTAGATACCTTTTGTTTAACCCATGTTTTTCACATGAACACACATACATGCACAAGCACGTTCCCATTCAAACTTAATTCATACCAATCTTAAGCTTTGCTGCAAGAATCTGTGAAGATATTGAGGAAGGATGGGAACTACAAGGCACTGGATAATTATGCTGAATGTGTAGCTGTTAGAGGAAAAATACTGTACTGTAGTATTCTTAGTATCTAATTTCAATATTTTATGTATGTCTGTATTTATTTTTATCAATTATCCTAGTATACTTGAGAATTCTAGGAGGTTTTATTAAGAAGTAACTAGAGAGCTGAATATTATAATTCGCAAGTAACATTGCTTTTTCTTCAGCTTTATTAATATTTCTAATGCTTTTTTTGACCTTTAAATAAGTTGTAAATTGCAGTCTGTATTCTTTCTTCGTGTAGTTATACCAATTCTACCGCTCTATCAGATATGTCTAATTGGATAAACACTTCTAACCCTATTTGGCAAAAAAGAACTTGAATGTGTGCTACAAATAATTTTTCTTCATTCCTTTCATAATTTCACAGTCACAAACCTTTTCTATTTTCATAACTTGGGTGTCCCAAAATGCCTTTTTGTGTTCATGTTGTTTGTTTGGGGCTTGAATTCAAGAGTCTGACATTTGTTGGACATAAATTTCAGATGGAAGGTACTGCTGATAGTTGCTTAGTCTTGGTTGTGATCAGTGTGAGCTGTGGGAGCACTCTTTTTTTATTCTAGTAAGAAGTTAGCACAGATGCTGACCTATCTTCCAGCTGAGAGTGGTTTGCTGACAATTAAAGAGACTTAAAGCACCTCTGAACTGAAGAAATTAACAGTTAAGGGCTTGTCTTGGATGGAACATAATAGCTAACATTCTGCCTCTCAGCTGGACCTGCTGTGAGGCTCAGACTTGCAAGGGAGGGCCTGGCTTGCCTCTGTCATCCTGATCCTACATGTTTTCCAGGGTAGGAAAAAACAGGACATTTAAATGGTTATATTATCCATCAGTTCTGGATCAAATATGGGCCAGACTAACACTGAATGGACATCAGACAGATTGTTAGGAAGAAATAAAGTAACATCCAACCCAGATGCTATGCCAAATATATTTGCACAGTTTTAAATCTGGCACTAAACTCTTGCCACTTTTAAGTACAATCTTATTATGAAACCTCTTTCCCATAAGCATTCCTTGTCAGACCATTTAAGGGAAATATATCAGAGATATAATTCCTAAAGTCAAGTTCCATTTTTAGCTTATTTTTATTTAGCTCTTCATGAGTGGAAGCTTTTAGCTCAGAAGCTGAATTATCTTTATGGTTTAGACTAGAGAAATTGATACAGATATCCTTGTCTTTAGGGAGTTCATAACAATATATGTTTTAAATTCTATTTCCAGAAGTAAACCTCCAGCTTTCCAATGTTAAATATATCTTTCAGTTCTGGCACATAATGATTATACCTTTTTGCTTTCATTCATGGGAGACGAACATTCAGCTAAGATTTTTTTAATTTTTTTTTTTTTAGTAAGTAGGATAACTGTATTGTTAGTCTACTGCACATTATAACATTCAACTAACACGTGTATTATTGTTCTAACCAGAAATCATGGATCACTACTTCCTGTGGATGCTGTTTACCCTATGTATTTATTTCATGTAGAAAATAATCGGTATTTTTCTACTGTTCTCTCTCCCATATTCTTCTACTTATGGGATATACTCTTCAGTCAAACGTTACCCTTAAACCAAGCCACTATGTGTCCAAAGCATCATGTATTGATATAATTTTTTAAAAGGGGCTTAGGTTTATGGACAACATGGAAATGACACATTTTCATCATGGTGTTCTTTTTAAAGATACAGAGCAACAAATGCTGGCGTCTGTAAAAAAAACAGGCTACAAGTTTCTTAAGACACCATATCCTAAAAATGACAATAAGAGAACTTACATGATACACTACTAAGCAACTTCCTAATGGAGTAGTTCAGAAAAAAATCAGTGTCTTTATCTGCAACAAGCACAGATATTTTGTATATAGTATGGTTATTATGCTGAGGTGATTGTGACTTAAACTAAGTTCTGCTTTGGCTTCTAGATCAGATATATCTCAACAACGCTTATTGGACTGAGGAGAGATGTTTTACAAACATACACATGAAATATGCATTCCTTAAATCTTTTTACAGTTTTACCATATTTGATCTCAGATAAACATGCTTTTGTTGAAATACAGCCTTCACATTATTTTTGAGGTTTTCTGATGTATGCACAACAGCATATTTGGAAGTGTTTTTATTTTCTTCAGATACTGGAAAGCAATTAGTAAAAATGTGATCTACGCACCAAAACTTTCTGGTAGCAGCGAAATTCTTCTCAGGTATTTCTTTGTTACTAGCAGGTTTTCCATCTTCAATAATTTTTAAAACATTTGAGTTTCTTCAATTTTCCTATAGTTAAGAGGTTTAGTATGTGTTGCCTGTGGTGTTGCAAGCTGTTTGAATCAACTTCTGCTGCCTACTGATTTTCAAAGCTGATTTTTGCCCCCTACTAGCATAAATGGCAACGTTTTATTTGCATACAATAATAAAATGCTTTAGCACACTTTATGCATTGTAGTGTATAAGGTCACCATTTTATTACATAGTTTGGTGCATTAACTCGCTTCTTAAAGACATCAGTGAACTCCTTGTGAAAAATCACATTAATAGATTTAAAAGAAAAATAAAATAGAAGTTAAGCCTTAGAACTTAGTTCTGTTTCTTTTTAGAACCCCTGCAGTTTGTTTTTAGCAAACTGGAAGGATAGAAACCCTAGTTTTTAAGAAAAAGAGATAATATTGCAAATTGGATAAAAGCATGAGTCAGATTTTTCAGAAAAATACTCATTCTAAGACTTCGAGTAAAACTTAAATGGCAGCAGTACAGGCAAACAACAAAATTTGAAGAAAATTTAACTGAAAAAGCTAGTGTCTGGGTTTTGGCTGTCTTGTGACTTAGTTAATCCATTTTGACCTCTCGTAGTTTTGATAGTTTTCAGCCTGTTTCTTTTCCCTAATAACTTCATATATGCATTTCAAACCAAGCAGGCATTTATTATACATCCCCTTTCTGCTTTAACTTGTTAATGAATATGGATTGTTTGCTGCACATGAATTTTAATCAGGAAGTGATTAATCTGTTGTGCAGTGAGAGAGGAAGTTTCTGTTAATGAAGTTATGTCTCAGACTGTGGAATTCAATGAAGTTGTGTTCTAAATTAACTGCAAAGTGAGACCAGCCTATCATTCAGTGTCATTTCTGAATTATCTGATTCCATGTTCTGAATTTAGTGGTTTAGTGTTGGGGGTTTTTATTTTTATTGTAATTTTTATAGCTTTGCACAAGTGGGGAAAATGTCTGTTGTTAATAAAAGACTTTGCAAACTTTTACTGTGTTTATGCTAACCTATATAAAATTCAAATGGTGTCCTTTCTGGGTCAAGTATCATTAGGAAGCTGTAATATTCATGGAAGGTCAGTTATTATTTTCTCTTTCCAGTCTCCTAACACCTAGTAATTTGAAATAAAAGGGTGAAAGATTAAATAAGGTATAGGTTAGTAGTGAGTAAAACAGAGAAATAGAGTAAAAATGTGGAAAGTTTTTGGAAAGGTAACTCTTACCAGTTAGGAAATTGTAACTGTTTTTTTCATATACCAAAAATGGCTCAAATTTAACTAAAGAATTCTGGAGAACTGTTAGGTGTCTAAACTGCTAAAGCTCTACTTGTACATAAAAGACAGCAGATCGAAAGTTGTTAACCACCGTCTGCTTTTGTTTAATCTGAAGCTCCTGAAAAAGGCTTTTTTCTTTTTTTCATTCTTTGTTTTCATTTTGCAAGTGATTTTCTAATGCTGTTGAAACTGGTTAGATCCTGTGAGAAGTCACTTGTCACAGTGCCAGAATTAAGAATTTTGCTGACCATTTTTTATATAAGGCACAGTGGAGCAAGTAGGTGGATAATCCTGATTCTTAGCACCAAAGGATTAGGTTGGCTTTAATATTTTAATTAAATTTTTTTTGCATAACTGAAAAACTCTTTGAGGCATCTTATTTTGATGTATTCAAAACATTCAAAACCCTATTTCAGGAGCTGAAGGGTCAGTAAAATAGCACATCTTGCAGAAAGTACTGAAAGTATATTAAAGCATAGGTTTAGATTTGCAAATGCTTCCAGAAGTTGATCTTCTGCCTTGTGTTTGTAATTGTAATATATAATGAGAGGGAGGCTAGGCATTCTTCCCAGATGGCTGGATTGCAGGTACATTCATCAAGTAATAGTGAGCTTATCCAGCAGAGTTCAGTGACACCAGAGATTAAACCTTTTCTTTATTAGGAAAGTTACTTAGAATTTCACTCTTGTCTTCAACATCAAAGCATTTTGCATTGGACCACTGCAGAACATGAAACTTTATATAAATGTCCTAGAGACAGGGTAGGTATAGGTGTCTTCTTGTTTCTCAAGTACAGAAATTCTTGCAGTTATAAAATTATTTGTTAATCAGGCCTGGAATCTTTCTGTAAAAAGTGTGCTTTCTGTCTGTGTTTTGTTATTGTATATTTAC